CTACTTCAACCTAGCGTTTTCGGTCGCTTTCCAGTACCCACAAAGAGTTATGAGTTCATTCTGCTACAACATTACAGTTGCACTGATGGATAGATAGATGACAAAAACTTACCAATATCTCCTATTTAACTTGAGTGGACCTTTAGTGAGTAAACACAGTGATTGGACAGGCTTGCTGTGTGCTATACTATTGCTGTGGAGGAGTTTCACATTCTGTTTAGATGTTATAAAAAGTACATGCGAGTAGCAGCAAGCTTAATGATGAAAAACTACATCTGTTGAAGTAGGGTACAAAAGCAAGGTAAACAATAGATCAAGAGACTTGACCAAGTTGATAATACAGAGGCTCAAAAAAGTATTCCAATGTTTATAGCTTTTCATGTAATTGCTATATCATGTGTCAAGACGTGGGAATATGACTAGGATATAGGAGGTGTCAGAGAGGTCTGCTTCTCAGCTCCATTTTGGCCTTCTATACCATGGGACAATAATGACATTGTGTGAAGATATGGTTATTTTAATTTGACGACTCATTGGGATACCTTTTTGACTTTGAGTTTGACTAATATAATATCTACAATTCTATTACTTTGTGTGACCTCCTTTTGCCCTAATCACTTCTACTGCTCTTCTGTAACACTGTCTCATAGTTAAAAATACTAATATCATGGTCTTTAAGCCATTAGTGGTCAATTTAAAGGTATACTTAGAGTCATTATCTTGTCACAAAATAGTATCTTCTTTATTAACTCATGACTCCTGTATGCTTCTTAGCAGACACTTCTGTCAAATGAGTATTTACTGCTTTGTATTCATTCTCCCCTCTGTTTCATAGAAAGTTCCCACTCCATTTCATCTTATACAGTCATATACCATCAAGTTTTCTTCTCAAAACTTATGTGTTTGTTTGACTTCTCTTTATCTTTATAGTTCTCCTATCTATTGTAATATAAATTCCTGGCCATATGATCTCAACCTATTGATTTTGACCTCATCTAACTAGATAAAACTTCTTCAGCTATCAGCAGTCCAGTATTTGAACTTCAAAGCAGCATCTTGTCTTGTCTTTCTATAGGTTGGAGACAGAAGAATATTTTTTTTCTTGATTACAGCATTAAGATGGGCTGTCTTAAGAGTTTGACTGACTATTTAAGTGGAGATCATTATAGAGATGATGGAAATAATCAATTTAGTCACCTCAGTAACATTAGTAGTCTGCCTAATCAGAATATAGTGATTAAGAGATCTTGAGTCATATAGAGCAACCTTCTAGATTAGCTACCAAATAACTTAAAGACTATGATATTACTATTCTATCATGTTCAGCAGAGATCCAAGACATCAACCCTATTGAATATCCCTAAGAATCACTCAAGAAATTGCTCATAGCATATCAAGATCCACCATAGAGGCTATTTTAACTATGAGACAGTGTTGCAGCAGAGTATGATGAAAATACCAAAGAGGAATACCCAAAATCGATAGAGAATATGTCTAACAGGGTGGTAGAAGTTATTAGGGCAAAAGGAGGTCACACAGTACTAGAATTGTAGAGATTATATTAGTCAAACTCAAAGTCAAAAAAGTATCTCGATGAGTCGTCAAATTAAAATAACCATATCTTCATACAATGACATTATTGTCTCATAGTATAGGAGGCCAAAATGGAGCTGAGAAGCAGACCTCTCTGACACATCCCTATAGCTTAGTCATATTCCCACATCTTGGCACATGATATAGAAATTACATGTAAAGCTATAAACATTGGGACATTTTTTTGAGCCACAGTATGTTGGTACTGGAATTTACTGGTATTACAACCATCAAGCATAAGCTTGTACAAACATAACACTTGAACTTCAATTAATTCAGTTTGGTGTTATTCGGATTAGCATTGATTGCCAAGTGCCCTGTTCCATGCATAGGTGAGATACAATCAGAACACAGACAAGATTCAGCAGTGCGACTACCTGCAAAACTTTGAATTTGTCAAGGCAGTTGTATCCGATTGTAATGGACATGCATCTGACATCATGGGGTAGAATTTAGCTCTGTAGAACTAGAAAGGGGCTGCATTTTTTTGGCATCGAGAAGCTTTTAAAGCTTGAGATATCTAACATAATGAGCATTTCATCACCAATCAGATGTTTTTTTGCTTCAATAAATGCCACTATAATTGTCAGGAACCAGAGAGAAATATTGCTAGAGGGCTAGTATTGATGCAGAAACCTAATGTTGTTACTCTTTCTTTTAAAGGATAAACACATCAGCTCAATCGAGTCCAAGAGAAAGGCAAAAGTGGTTTCACTATGGCGTCTTCTTTGTGTAAAGTGGAAGTAAATAATATCCCTGTCAAAACCATAGGTGGAATGGATGGAACCTCCTGCATCACCCACCCCTGCACATAAGTAATTCATTTTGCTTTTAGGTTGAACTAACTTTTGACGAGCTGTATGCCTTTCAAACCTACTAAGAAACCACACTGCCACAGGCCGCTTTCAGCAACTCCAGTTTTAGGCACAAGCCTTGGGAATATCTGGTGAGCAAATGAAAACCAGTCACATGGATATTCAGCTCAATCTGACTGTCCAGAACAGGGGTAGACTGGTATGTCACTTTGTGTGTTTGTTTGTTGATATTAGTTGTTCTTATCATTGTGCAAAACTTTTTTTATCAGCTGCTTTAACCCTCTCACAAGTTCACACACTCTTGTTCATCTTACAATCCAAAAAATGGTTGGCATTCCAGAAACAGTAGTTATCTCATATTCTGCAGCTTCAAGTCCTGACCCACCTCCATGTCATAGATATTTTAAACCTGTATAGCCAATCCATCCTACATTCATTGCTGGTCTTATTATCTTTCTTCAGTCAATGCAGTGGACAGGCCATCTATATCCATCACTGAAATGTTAGACATGCAAAATTACAAGGAAAAGGGCATCCCAATTGGCATCTTCAATTCTTGACCATTCAGTTTCTCAGAACAAAGAATTTACAGTGATTACTAATGGTGTGTTCAATATTTTCACACCCAGGGTTTAGGAGGTGAAGCCAGGCATCTATATTGTCATATTCTTAAGTTGTTTATATGTGTTTTACATGAAAACTTGGGTGACAAGCAGGAAATCTTTCAAACATTGGATCTACATCTCATCGACTCATGGGTGCTTGCAGGCATTGAGGTATATGGCAAGAAGAATAAATGTTCCAGTATCAAACCCTTGGACATAGACTCACACATATTAGTTGGACTTATTTCAGAAAGGAATCTGTGCTGCACTAAGTGAATGCAGACAACATATAGGATGCTGTTCTGGAGAAGCTTGCTGTATATACATGTTCTCAAGGCATAGGAAGACAGTCCAAGCTGCAGTGACTTTAAGTATACAGGACATACAAATTGCCAGATCCATTTTCGATGATGGCTAGATCATCTTGGATGACAGAATCTTGAACAGAAGTTGCCATTATGGGCATTTAGTTGCTGCTACAAAAATTTTACCTGGAACATTTGGAGAATCACAATTGGACCAATATTGTGCCTGCCAGTGTTTGTTTAATGATATCAGCTTGTCCTACAACCTTGTACCTGTTTGACGACTCAATTGCTCATATAAATGTTTTCAACTTTCAAATACATTAGACATCGGATTGCTAGATGCTTACATAGGACTCTTAGCAAATCACAAGGTCAGCCTATAATTACGCATTTGTTTGCATCCACACTCTGAATAATGTATTGATGGCTGCAGACTGAAGTGAGGATCTTATCAGTTTAACTCAAAGATTGAGTATATCCTGCAGATCTTTGGGAGATTATTGGAGAGTGTACTATAGAAGTACAGCAGGAGGCAATATCACGACAATACCAGCACAATTACGCTGGTGAATTTGAGGGGAGAAGGTATGTAGTCGTGTCATCAGGAAATCAACTCGAAACTGATATGACCAGACAGAATTGGTAATGAAAACACATAATTATACCTGATTTTTTAGCCTTAGATATTTTTATTACAGTGTCACACATAGATGAAATATGATATGACTATGTCAGAGAGATATCACCTTGACATGTGTCTTAGAAGTACACAACAGTGTGATCACCAGGCTGTAATTGAAAGGCTGCAGATCATTACATTTTCAATGGCCTTGTAAAAATTGGCAATCGAAACGCATCAATGTTTGCCCTTGAATATTTTTGTCACAGTGTCACACATAGATGAAACAAGATATGACTATATCAGAGAAGCATCAGGTTGATGCATGCCTTGGAAGCAGCTATCAGTGTGATGATCAGGCTGTCCATGCACTGTAATTAAATAGCTGCAGATTATCACATTTCCAGTAGATCGATAATGTATTGTAATATTTTTTACACAATGGGTTACATCTTATCTAGATTGCACAGAAGCTGCAATTACTACACAGCTCGTGTTTAGCTGTCTAACATGGTCAACATCTACAAAGCTCGACAACTACAGACTACTGCAGACTAAAATTGACCATGGACTGACAATGCCATCAAGTGATTAGGGAGCTGATCATTGGGCACACGCAAACTAACTTGGACATGTGAAAATTTTGCTCAGGGATATGTTGTTATAACTCTTAAGTTGCCTATTCGCAGTATATGAAGCAACAATACGATATCAATAAAAAACTAAGTGAGTGCTCAAGGGAAGAATAAATATCACGAGATAGCATATAGTATCTCTTATAGCTGATAACAAAGTGGATGCTTGAAACGTACTCATGCTTGGCCCGCTGTATTTTTGCCACCTGCAGATGTTGGAGGTGCTCACTTAAGGTCGATGGTTTTACCATTTATCATGCCAAGAGCGGAGTCACAAAGCAGATGGTCATAAATGTAAAGTGAGAGTAGTAAAATAACATAAATCTTGCAACGTACAGCCTACACATGTGGAATACCAGTACAGAAGTGAAAATTGTGGTGGACGACAAAGTGAGAGATTGATATAAATCAGTGGCACAATGAGATTACAGGAGTACAGAGTCACTGGAAGAGAAGGATAAAGATGAGGCCGAAACAAAATCATCGAGATAGTTGTCAGGTAAATAGGTGTTGAATGTTATAATTTCAGAGCTTCTGCCTAGAGTCATGTTAGTGCAAGAAATTGAATCACAAGTTGCATGCTCACCATCTGACGTGGCCTTGAACTCAGACAAGCATTCCATGGCTTCCGAAAACATGTGCACTTCAGCCTGTGTGCGCCGCTTCTTTAGATCTAGAATACGCACATCAGACTTAAGCGTGTCCACAGATTTGTGCTCCTTTGCTTTGAAGCTCTCACTGTCGATGATTCATAGAGGCTTGCATTCGCAGAAAGATGCGTCCATGTAAGCACGGTATGTAACATTATCCACCCAAGTTTTCAACAAACAAGGTAGGGAAAGAAGATCGTCAGGCTGCACGGCGTCAGGACATGGGGTCAACGTAGAATAGATGACACGTACCCTTAAAAGACATTCAGGAAGATCAGGAAGTTCCACAGTTTTTGGGGAACTGAGGAGCACACAGATGGTATCAGAATCAACCTGCATAACGCCTTGGACATGCGATGACGTGAGAAGCCACGCATTGCATTTGTCTCGAGTGGCTTGTGTGGGTTGGAAGCAATCAACATATTCTAGATTATGCGCTGGGCATGCTCCAGCATACGCAGCAACATCGACTGTAGCTGGTTTCGGTCGGTCAACTGCAAAACACACATTTAGTCCCGGACACGATTCTTTCAACAGGATGGCTCACAGGGATGGTGTCGATTTTCCAGCTCTTCGCACAAGTTTGCGATAGCATTACTGAACAATGAAACTTCGGTTTGAGCTTGGTACATTCTATCCTGCATTAAACACCGCCCCTCTCACAAGAGGAATACCATGCAACTCCCCTCTTCTTGCTGAAGCTGCGTGTTCATTGCGACCTCTTTGAGGCACATATCAATCAAAGTCATGAGATCATGAGCATCCACTAGTCCAAACACCACAGAAGCCGTTATAATAAGGGATTCTGGAAGCTGGAGTTGAAGTTAGAAATGTAAAAGAAACATGTGAGGGCACTGACAGTGTCGCGGCCTTGTGCCTGGAGCCAAGCTAGCAGGGCTGCCTCGGTCTGTTCAATTCCAAGAAAGTGGGTGGTTGGGACTGTTTGGTGTGTACCATAAGTATCTGAACGAATGTTATTTAACATGGTGAAGTTAGAGGTCAACAAGCTCGAGGGGATATTCTCATGATCACCGAATGCAGCTTACACAACCTATACAGTTGGGCGATGGCGATCAATCCTCCGGATAGAGCGATGGCGAACATATGTAAACGATGGCGATCAAACTATAGAAAAAGTAGCTTAGATAAAATAAATCATTGCATACACGAGGAGCATACGTAAGCATGTATTCAGGATGGAGACAGAGAAGGGAATATGAGACCTGTTGGTCCAGCTCTGGCAGGAGTTAGACGAAGTGGAGCACCGTTGAGTTTGGATGTGAGGACTATTAAAGAGTTGGGTTCAAAACTTACATGTGATCACTTTTGAGGTGCCGAGTGAAGATGTCCCTGTGCATGTTTGTTTGCATATGCATGCCATCAAGTTCATAACCATTGGAGCTGACTCCATGCTACAACTAACTAATGTACATTTCAAAAACGAGCCAATGACAAATGACAGGCTGACATGCGGACGATGTAAATAGTATCATGCTACACACACAGCACAGAAGGCTGGTTCCTTGGGCGGGTAATATGAAGGACGTTGCTCTCGCTTTAGTATGGTACATCAGCTATCACGCAAAATACAAATTCTGAATGAGCGTACATTATTATACATAAGCTCCTCAGAGCCTGCCTGAATGGCTGGATGTCAGGATCATCGTGCTGTTGGAAGAGCATAGGACCTGTCTCTTTCAATTCCATGAAAATCTGGCTGGGTGTCGGATAATCTACCAGGGAAATGGGATCGCTTGAGCTGTTGACAAGTCTTTGTAGTAAAACCTGATATAACTGATTGGAAAATTGAAGTGAACGAAAAACACAAGATTAGTATAGGCCACTTACAGATGACCCAAGGAACGCTGTTGTCTCCCATGGGGGGTGTGGAGCATGCCTAAACATCGCAGGCTCAAGATCAGCAATGGTCAATTGAACACCGCACGTGTTCATAGTACAGAATATAACATGGTACATGATCTCCTTGGCCATCTGTTCGCGCACAAATCAATAAAACCCATTCTCCTGCGAGAAAAATAAGATTTTGACAATGAACATGAAATCAAAGAACTTACTGCAAGAGGGAGAAGGTGCGCATGTGGTCTTAGGAACATCTGCAGGGCATCCAGGATTTTGTCCGTCAGAACATCGCCGAAACCCAGGCCAGCGCAAGAGTCGTCGATGATGTAGCCCAGCGTGCGTCTCACATCATAAAAAAACTGCAAAAACCATGCAGAAGTCTGTTCTGGGTTAATGATAAGTAGAGAAACCAATAATGACACGTACAAGGCCCAATATCTCGCGTTCAGAAATAGGCTTCTTGTTAGTTTTAGAAAGAACTGCAAATGAATCAGCACCTGTAGGTATCAGCAAAAATAAACTCACCAGTTTCCAAGGACAAAGCAGCAACATTTGTCTTTGTCAGACTAATGGGCCAGAGTTGGTCGATTACCTGCTGCCTTTGAGCACGTTGGCTAGCGAGCAGGTGTGGGTTTTGTGTGCCACTGGAGCACATTGCAATCCTGATGAATACCCAAAGGTAGGCAAGCGGGTACCGCCACTGGGGGCACGCCATCATGATCCTGTGGAGACTACGACCTACAACATGTTTTGTCGGAGGATTGGCAGGCGTGACTGCTTGTAATCCAACGGCGCTGCTTGGGCCCGGTACGTTGATATAGGCAGACTAAGAGCCAGTCCACGACTGCGGGATGGTTGAGGCCTCCTGGCCCGATACACTAAAGATATCGGAGAAATCTGCCAGGTTGCTGCTGCAGATTTTCTGGTAACCTGTAGGGTAGCATGCAATATGGACGACAGTGCGACCAACAATGTCTGTGTCATCGACCTACAATATTTGTCAAGGCGTGATCTGGGTAACATTACAAGGTGGACTTACGTATTGATATAGACCATGCATGCCATTCTTGCAGGTCACGCTCATCACGAAAGGCAAGTCCAACAGCGGGGCGGAGAAGTCGAGCTAAAATATCTCATTAGTAAGGTAGAATTGCAGTCGGTATTCAACTTACTATCAGGATGTAGCACGGAACATCATTGTGGGGGGTCATAAATGGTGAGACGTGTAGCACGGGTGTGCGAATGTAGGCGATCACACATAACTGTTGTCTGAGCTTGATGGGGGGTCAGTTTCACAGCGATCACCAACCAAAACACCCTACAACATAAAAATCCTCCATCGGACTCTACACCCATAATCAGACATGCAGAATACACTGTTCAGATACCCAAATAAAACTTACATAAAGAGGATATACTGTTGGCAGCAACCCAACCGAGAGATAGCCAACGAAGTCCACACTTTTTGTAGGCTTGCCCTGAAAGAAATGAAAGTTAGCTTCGAGTCGGTAAGACAAGGAAATGTCTTACAGAGGAAGGAAGCACTGCGTCATTCCGCACATCATAAATGTAGTACTCGTGATCCTGATGTGCTGCGCCAGGGAGTTTGATGTTGATGGATGAAGACATGTTGTGCGTACAGTGAGCAAAAAACATCTACTTTATATATCAGTAGATTACAGGCACGTTACCCAAGCGAGTCCGTATCATTGATTATTACATGTACAACAACAATCTAGACTAAAAGACATCGATAAATTTACAGGTGCAATTGATGGAGTGGAATGAGCACCATTGATCTAGTTTTACGTGCGTTGTCAGTATATGGGTTGTTGCGCCATCGTGCGAGTAACATGTGCTCTAGTTTTTGTAATCTAGCTCTATGTCACTGCCATACATTCCATCAAATTCGCTTCCCAGCAATTCTCTACTTGAACTGAACTCGAGTTCGCCATCTTGTATATTCGGATCTTCATCTTCATCTTCAACAGACATCCCGTCATCCATAGAGCTTTCAACATCATCTACAACTTCTTCTGCACTGGGGCTGCCTCATTGAGACTCAGTGAGTGAGGATCGATGATGTGAGTATACATGTCCAACTCCAAGACCATAATGGAAACGCATCAACATGTCGTGGTCCACAAACCTTGATACCATAAGGTCATATCAAGGTGTGAGAAGTTTCCTGACTTACTGATTTATATAATACGCGCACCAATCATATTTATCCTGCGCACATGCTGACAAACCCAATCCATCAGGGTGTTTCCTGCGATTGTGAAAAGAAGGAATGATATGGCTGCCCCTGAGGACATCCGCTGGATCCAGGAAGTCAAACGAGTGCTCGCCCGCCAAAGACGGAAAGCTAACTCGGTCTAGAGTCGAGTTTTCCCAACCGGAGAGCTCATCCATGGGTTTGTACCATCGAACCCATAGGAACTCCATTCGAGTTGGAGTGTAGTCGACGAAACTGTTACAAGTAACATCGGTCACGTGGCCCCCCTATCATTTTCCCTTCATCCTCGCCCTCACCATCTACCGGCTCGTCCTCCTTTACCGACTTTCCGTTGACCGGATCCTCGGGACCATTCCCGTCCCTCGCATCACCCGCCTCTATGCACGTGCACGCACGTTCCTCTCTTGATTCGACCACCAATGTGGTCCCGCACCTCTGACTCGGTCTGACTCGTGCCACCAATGTGGCTTTCCTATTTCTGTTCCCTCTGACTGCGGATTCTCGCACGTTGTATTCTTACTGTTGGTTTGTTCCAACGTTTCTCGGTCTCATTCCACATTCGACCATCCATCACTAATCCGGCTGTGTTGCCAACGCACCTATACCATTCCCGTATCCCCTTTACCCTTACCTACTGTGCGGTAGCCTTGCCCTTAACCCTCTCCACTTAGTATAAGTAGTCAGTCACCCTGTACTAGATTCTCTAACTTGAATCTACTCAATCTTCCCTGGAACATACTTCCCTCTGAAGCCCCCTCAGCTTCAGTCTCTAGTATCTTTTCTTAGTCGCTCATCGCAACTAAGTCTACCTCGATCGACCTCATCGTTCGGACAAGACAGTCCTTACCTTGAGCGACTTCTAAGACACCCGTCTCAGAAGTCACGTGACACGCGCGTACTGTGATCACTGCCGACTCGTCGTCGCCAGTATCACTTGCTATACCGGATCCTTCCGGTTACGTCACGAACGTTAGCGGACGACGCCCCTCTTAGGGCTCCGCCTAACAGATCTATTTGAGTGCGTAACAGAAACCAGCTCCAATGTAGATTACATTTACATGATATATTCCAAGTACCTTACCATAGATGAATCAGTGACCTCGGTGCTCAAAATCATCCCCATCACGGAGGACCATCACGTTACAGTGTGTCATCCGTGGATTGATGACGTCCTGAGCTCTTCAAACGTCGTACAAAGTATAATTGAACATTGCAATGTTGTGATGATACATCTGATCGTCCTTCAGAATGATCCTGTCTATGTCCATTTCATCTCTGGATGCGGGAACAAGACTCAATTTTTTGATGCGACATAAAAGGTGATCTTTAAGTTTGGGAGTAAAGTTCTATAAGGGCTTGTGAAATGTCATTTTTGTAGATATAAATGACCAACCTTAATGGCTGGGTCCCCTTGATGGGTGCGCAAGAAGGATCCAATGTGTACAGGCGACAGCTGTGATAGGCCGATGTGGTGGTGAACGTGTGGACTTGTCGCCAACTCTGCAACTTTGATATGAGGGCGTACAGAAACTCTGTCTGCGATACGACGAATACGGGCCTGACGACGTTCGATTCAAGTGAGCTGTTTTATAAATAGTTTGCGATCCATACAACGATACCTGGCCTTTGGCGAACGGTGTTCGAGTTCACCCTGAGGAAGTCAGTCAGTGACGCCTCGGATTTTAATGGCACGAAAATTACCGGTTCGGTGCTGAATGAATCACATATACCATACTGGCAGATCGTCGCTACATAGTCACCTGAGGCGTGGAACTTGTAGGTCTGAAAATTGAACAACTTTGTGTGGTGCACACTTTTAGCAGGTTTAGCAGGATGATCTTCCTCGGACGTTGCCCTCTGCTTCCCAGCGCGAGCAGTCTGCTTACCCTTCTGCGTCGCAGAAGATTTTACCGCCTGTTTGACACAACGTCTGTTGTGCGCTTCGACCTCCTGATGAAGTTCGCGGGTATCATAAGCACAGCAAACGTGTGTATTGAAGTCGCGGAATTGATAGTTGAGTGTTGTAGTGACTTGATCCATGATATCTAGGGTTAGATCAGAATGCATACGCAGCTTGGCCAGCCCATGCCAATGTGACATGTTGAATAGTAACTTGAGAACAATTGTATTGTGTGGTTCGGGTAGGAGCCCATCAAAGACGGGGATGGAACACTACACAGCGAGTCAGCTGTTATCTGATATAATATGGGGGGGGGGGGGATTATACCTGCAGGAGATCTTCAAAATTGCGAGCTGCCATCCATTTCATCTCTGAAGAATTAGCTGCAAATTTTCAGATGGTATCTTGACCGAACGTTGGAGTTTCTCGGTACCTGTGTAAATGGCTCAGGTTAATGATGAGAGTCAACGATCAATCACACCGCCATACCTGTGATCCAAAACATGGACGAGACTTTTATCCTGCACGACAATAATACGTAATAAGTGAATAAAAAGTGACTTCCAGACCTCAATCTCAAACTCGTGCAGCAGATCTACAACAAGCGCATGGAAAATATTAAAACCCAATGGACCGAGACGATCTGAAAAGCTGTTCTGAGGCGTTGTTAGATTTCATTAGTGACGATGACTCCAAGCTCACCAAGGTTGGCACCCAAGACTGTTCTTTTAGAATGTGTTTGACAGGTGCACTGCCAACAGCAAAATCCTTCTCGTAGATCAATTTGTGTGCTTCGCTCACCATTGGGCCCCTAGTTGCATCTTTGCGAGCTAGTGTCTCGCATTGTCATCTATCCTGAGGCCTGCCCATGTTATGTATCCGATCCTTTGGTATAAGGCAGCGGGGACATGGACAATGTCCTAGATGTCGGACTGTTGCTATCAATACTCTGGTCGAATGCCAATCAGTCCTATTTAACACGCGATCTGACATTACTCACTTTTCAGGATAATCAGCAGAGTATGTAAAAATACTAGGGTAGAATCTGTGCGTGATGCCATCACAGCATCAAATTATGATGCCATGTTCATAGGCCTGCAAGAATTCATCGTCGAGCAAGATCTTTCATTGCTCATGAAAAAATTCTCTATGGCAATGCGTCGCGCAGTTGCTGTTCATTCCCTTGCCACCTGCGAAATCCTTGAAAGAGTCTGGGAGCTGAAGAACTTACTGTAAGCATGCAGTGGCACTGAATCAATAGGTAGTCTTACCGTCTCAAAGTAAGCAACGTGGTTGCTCAAGCTGCATGACGGCTTGCAACGGCGGTACTTCGATTCATTGGCAAAGTACATGTACGTAGGTCACAGCTTAGCATTTCCAAATGAAGTGAGTTGTGTGGCATCGGACCAAAACATCAGGCCCGCCACAACCTGCGGTAAGTCACACCCTGGTTCCCTCGGTAATTCCTGCACTTTGCGGTGTGCTTCATGGAAAACTGGGGATGTGTAGATGTCACCATGTATGGCGACCTCTGCATCAAGATGAGGAGGAGCCCACCGGAGGTGATATGGCTCGTAATGGAATAATTTATTGTCTTGAGAATTCGCAAGCTTCTCTTGTATAACAGAGACAAGGGAACAATGATACAAATCTGCTGCCTGGTATACACAGGGACCTGGTGCATCGGTGGTGCAGGAAAACAGCACCTGGAGGGATATTGGAGTTCTTGTCCATCTGGCGTCCTCATCCTCCCACTCTTCTCCATCCCCATCATCGTAGTCATTTGCGCCCAGCTTGGTATTGATGTTCTTCCAATGGGTGGAGCTGACATCGGCAGCTTGGAAGGAACTTCCACCCACAATGGACAAGAGCTTTGCGACTTCTGAAGTCCCTGGTTCCAATACCAATCCCCAAGCTGGAAAGAGGCTTGGTTTGGATAGGGATGATAGCGAGAGTCGCTTTGCGACCCAAGAGGTTCTGGGGATAAATCAGTTCCTTGAGGGGTGCCAGGAATGAATGAGAGATCTGTGATTGTTACATACTCTTCCGGATCATGGGATGGTGGTTTATCCGAAAAATACTGATGCACCAGCCCGAAGATATTTGTGGGAGTATGATAAACGCATTGTAGTAAGGCTGGGCATTGTTCTGTGCTGACAGAAGATACAGGAGATTCCAAAAGTTCGTCCCGGACTTCCACCGGGACTGTAGGTGGGGGCTGTGGAAGCACATCTCGAAATCTCTTCGGTTTTTGTCGGTTCTCCCGCCTGGGTCTGTGCTCCGCCAGACTCATGTTCCCTCTGTCATCAACGACCACTTCATTGGGATGATGCTCTTCGAGAGCATGGGGAAGGGTTGTAGAGACCGAAGCTTCATTACCATTACCCGGGATATCGTTGTTTTGAGCGGGAGGCAAGTGATTGGTACAGAAGGTGAGTGTGGTATCAGGCGGTGAGATATGCTGATCAGGGGCAGTTTCACGCAAGTCGTTTGAGGTGCGCAACTTTTTCCTGCGACCAACAAACTCCTTGAAGGAGGAGATGGCCGACGACAGGTGTCTTTTTGTGCGGGAACATGAATGTTGATGTAGGCTGTAGTAATTCTGTGCGGTAAACATGCGTTTACAAACACATGTATAACCAGACGCAGACATGAAAGAGCATGCCCTACAAAACAGAATGATTAAGTACATAATATGGGAAGGCACTGCCGCTCACATTAGAGGCATTCTAAATGACGTATGGACAGGAACGCAATGGCGCTGAGCTGACAGGGCCAGTTGGGAAGGACTTATGTAATACACAGGAGTGATGCGATGGTGCAGTGTTGACCATTGAAATTTTTGATGATGGCTAGGCACACAATGGCGCTGGGATGAGGGATAAGCCATAATCCCTCAAATGCTAAGAGGCCACCTACCTTGCATTCGCATGCTGAAAGTCTCCTTCTGAAATCACCAACACATCTGTACCACCTTCTCCCTCATCATCCTGCTCGAGCCTGGAACCACAGGAATTTGTTGTCGACCCCAAGGTCGTGAAAATGCTAGTGAATATATTAATTGCACGCCATGGTACACTTCATTACCATGGCCAAACAGGGGAACTGACAACCTTTCAATGGTGAGTTCTGCATAGAAGAAAGAAGAATTGGCTCATACCTGAAAGACAGGCCAACTACCCAACAAGGATGGAAAATTCATCCTTGAGAATTTTAAGCCTATCAAGATGCACATATCTTTCGCTACCATTGTTGCCTTTGCGCTACAGGAGATAGATACGTAGATAGTAGTGCCACAGTTCGGCTATGGCCCAATCAGGCTCGGCATCTACCGACAAACTCGTAGTTCGGTCATTGTAGTGAACTAAGCCACCAATTTGCCATGTAAACTGGTTCATTCTGTTAGTCAGCCGCAAGAACCGACTAAAGCCAAACTACGGCTTGAACTGGCCTTCAGCTGGTTCAAGCCGGTTGAACTGCTTGTAAAACATGGAATTAATACTTCCTCCAACTTCCTGCTTGACTCTTGGATCTACTCTACATTATTTCATACCATGAATAAGGTCCCTACTCGAGTCGATGGCAGATTTAGGCTGGGAAATGTTCTGGGGTCTGGCTCATATGGTACGTGACTATGTCATTCACATAGTGACTATATTCACCATCTGGGCTTCACTTAGCTGTTGTGTACCACACACAAAACTTCATCAAGGATGATTCAGTTGCTGTCAAACTCAAACCTATCATCAACCGCTTGTCCTCTGTGTGCAATGAATACAAGATTCTGAAACAACTCGCAGGCGGGGTTGGGATCCCTCATGTCTTTTGGTTTGGCAGAGAATCAACATACCATGCTTTGGTTCTTGATCTCCTCGGGCCATCGTTGCATGATCGAAGATTCAGCCTTCCTAACGTTGTGAATCTAGGAAACCAGTTGGTCAGCCACTTTGTGAAAGGCCATTGCAGAGAGCTAACTCCATTTTTCCAGCTCTCACGTCTCGAATCCATCCACTCACACAATTTCATTCATGGTGACATCAAACCCCAGAATATCTTAGTTGGTCTCGACGATTTGAAGCACACCGCCTTCATAATTGACTTTGGTATTTCGAAGGAGTACTGCAATACTTCAACCAGAGCCCATATACCATTTCGCCAAGGTCGTTGTCTCACCGGCACACCTGCATTCGTCTCAATCAACAGTCACTTAGGAGTTGAGCCAGGTCATCGTGACGATCTCGAGTCCCTCACATATACGCTGATATATTTCTTGCATGGCTCCCTCCCATGGTTAACCAGCGATCACGAAAAGCTCTCCAATTCTTCCATGCTTGAGTGCAAAGTAAATACTACTGTTGAAGTCTTATGTCACGGAATTCCCGTCGAGTTCACAAGTCTTCTAATTTACACACGCTCACTTGCATTCTCGGAGGATCCTGACTATGACTATCTACATTCATTACTCCACGGTATTTCTGACACATCGCCAACGCCAGCTACATGCCTTTTGGATTTTGGCCAGCCCGATCCTATCATTCATACCCCTGCATTCTCCAATGAACAGGTGGTGGCCGAGGCAGTGCAACCACATCCAATGAAGGCAAACCCTCCTCGCAGATCAACTTGTGTGTGCGTAATTCCTTTTCATCTTCCAATTTGTAAACTGATGATCCTGTTTTTCCTGAAGCCTCCACCCATGTAATAGCCCTGGGCCACTACCTGCAACCACTTCCACTCCACACTGCAACAAGGAACATGTCGTGAGATGAATCTATTGAATGTTTACTACCTGTACATACATGTGTATGATATATTGTTGCCAAGACTAGAACTAGCTGTATGTATGAATAGCTATCATAGAAAAATTGTCATTCCTGAATCAGACACTCTCAAGTCTCGACTCCTACGGCGTGCCCTCTTATGTTTTATCTCAACACTCCCTTCAACATACAGAGGGATCCATATACATGCACACTCATCCACGATTGTGGCTGTTTAATGAGTCATCGAGTGTTAAACTTATTAAGCTTCAGATACGAGATCGCCCAGATCAGTACTTGCCATCATGTCTAGGGCACCGGAAGCTATTGGGGACTCTCCACTAAATGTGTCACTGCCCTTTTGTTGGATGACTTCATCGCATGCTGTGTGGGGGGATATTCCATGAAATGTGTTGTTGCTCTTTCGCTAGGTGAACCTTATTGGATTGTGATACTCAATTGCCAATTAGCCAATCGACTTCATGGATGAACACATTTTTTCAAGGTTAGCTTTAATCTATTGGCATTTTGCGGTGTCTCTCCTGACACAGGCTTATAAAAACAGGCAAATATGTTGTTATATCTGCATTGCTGCTCTTACCAACATGGCACCTCGTCGGCGTGCATCCAAGACAACCACCACACCTGCTCCCACTGTGCTCATCCACGCTGGTGTTATTCCTGTCCCCATTGATGTTATCCCCATTCCCACTGATGTTATTCCCGTCCCTGCTGGTGTTATTCCTGTCCCCATTGGTGTTATTCCCACCCCTGCTACCATTATCCCCATCCCCGCTACTGTCGCCATCTGCACTGTCGTCACAGCGAATGCACTTACAAACCCTAATCGAAAACGCCAGCTCCCTCATAGATATCGAGACTTCAGCCCTTCTCAACCTACAGTGGATGAAGGGGAATATTTTGACCTCGACAATGTCTCTGGTGATGATGATGATGAAGAGTATGGCCCGCCTGAACCTACCATTAGGGCTCCTGCAGGCCCTAGCCCACTTCAGACAGCCACACATACTGTCCATCCCACTCAAACTACTCTCTTGGACACCGGTAGTCTAACAAAAAAGGCCAAAGGTGCTGATGATTTCCATTTCTTTTTCTGGCTGAATGAAGTTACTGGGCGCAATACCTGCATACCTTGCGAGTGAGCATCATCTCTGTGATTCCTGTGTTCTTTCTTACATCATTCACTAGGCAGTTGCATGAACTTGACCCGACGTACAAAGTTACAACGTACAAAACCACCACGAGCAATACAGGCCCTCGTCACCATGTATACAATCATCATACCCTCATTTACTTGGAGGAGGCAGGGCGCCAGGGCTGGCCCATACAGATGAAGCCTTTAAACGCTCTTCTTGATGAAGGATGGACCATCATAGCAATACGTGAAAGGCTCAGAGATCCGACTCGCACAATTGATTCACTCGGAGATGTTCCTAGTCATAGTGATGCGCTGCTCAGAACTGGACAGCCAGGAACTCTGGAGGATGAAATTCCTAACTTCACCCTTGACGAGATGCATTGACAACTGGTGAGGTTTGTTGTTGCCGACGATCAGGTGAGTTGCTGTTTAATTTCTATGCGCTATTATTGATAACACCTTCAGGCAATCAACATCATTGAGTGTCCTGAGTTTCGTCGGTTGATTCGCCTTCTATGCCCAGAATTGAACGAGAGCGATATCTACCATCGCACAAAATTTCATGAGTTGATCCTTGAGGCCTTTGATGAGTACTTCGAGGCCTTAAAAAGGGACCTTGCGGTAAGTACAGTTGTCTAAAGTCGTGAAAAGTATCTTATATCTTTCAGATGGCGCAGGGAAAGATTTCATTCACGTCTGACCTGTGGTCAGACTCCAACCTTCGCCCTTTCATGGCGATAACAGCTCACTGGATTGCCAAAGATGCGAAAACTTCCGTGCTCGTCTTGAAAGCAGTACTGATCGCTTTCAACCACACACCAGGGAGTCATGCAGGAGATTGCCTAGCCCAATCAATATTGGGCCTCCTTGATCGTGTCAAAGTGACAGAGAAGGTTCATGCTTAGTTTTACTGGTGACATGATCTGACTCCATTTAGTCTGGACATTTTACCCTGGACAATTCTGGCAACAATCACACTTCCATGCAAGAGTACTCACATCTACTGGAGGAACGCGGGATAGAATTCAATCCTGTTGAGCACCGGATTCCGTGCTTCCCCCATATTATCAACATATGCGTGAAACACATTATCGACGAGTACTCAATTGCTGACTTTTCAGATGTGTCGGAGACATGGGTAGTCAGTGGTGAGACCATCAACAAGGCAGCATATGTCCAAGCCCTAGCAGGCAAAGCCCTTGATCGAGCTAGAGCACTTGTGCGCACAGTCCATGCATCGATCCAGCGCCGTGACAGTTTCATGATCACCATTACCACGGGTAACAACAATAAATGGTTCCTAGACCACACAGGTTCCCCCACCCGGCTGCCTGTCGTACAACTCCTCCATGATGAGCCGACATGTTGGGACTTGGTCTATGTCATGTTGAACCGCTTATGTACCCTTCGCCAGGTAAGCCTCCACCCCACTAACATCTATCACAGACTAACGGTAGCCTAGGCTGTGGATATGTTCTTTCAGAACCCAAATCAACACCTGATCGCTGACAAGAGATTGACTCCGATGGAATGGCACTTTCTGCAGGATCTCGAAGTGATTTTGGAGGTCAGTGCTAATGTATTCTAAATCTACAATCTGTCTCACTGTCTGATATTAGGTACCGCACGCTGCTCAACAAGCAATGTCAAGTGAAAGTACTCCAACATTGAGTGGCGCAGTTCCGACCTTTGAAAGATTGATCGAGGGATGGAATCACATAGCGAACCACTTCCCGCACTTTGCGCCTCTGATTAGCATAGGCTTGCTGTGGGCGGGTAAATATGATGATTGGATGGGCGCCACCAATGCTTATGCGGTCTCTATGTGTCAGTTCTGCATATTTTAACAGAAGTCTGATTCTCATTGTTACTTTTAGTCATCGATCCTGCTTCACGGATGTTGTGGATGGAACGCCATTGGGGTCAACAGCGAACTAATGACGCCAAAAAATTTATCATGAAACTTGTACGTATGTCTTTTGCCAATAACAGCGCAACATTGAATGTATCATCTAGATGCATGCCAAGAGAGGGACCCTGGCCTCTGGTTCTGCACCCTCTGTAGGGGCAGTACAAAAGCCAAGCACGCTAGGTTCACACCTCTACGGCCTTCCTGACATAGACATGCCATCAGATCACAGCGGGGGTGCCCAAACAGTCGAACAGGAGTTCAATACGTACAGTACAGCTACTCGCAGCCCCAAAGGCACAAATATTCTCTCGTTTTGGACGGTAAGAGCCTTGTATCTCCTCGAGCTACATTGTTTGTCATTGACCATGGAATGTTGACCAGGCCTCTCAGGGGATGTTTCCGACAGTCTTTGCAATTGCCTTGGACTATCTCCCGATACAAGCATCCACTGTCCCCTGTGAGCACGTGTTCTCATCGAGTAGTGAGACTGACATGCAAAAATGGAACCGCCTTAGCCCCGTGCTGATGGAAGCGCTACAGATCATCAAGTTTATGCTGAAAAAAGATAGGCTCAACTTCACCAAAGGGTGGGCAGCATCACAGCGAGACATGGAATATGAAGTGCTACGTGATGTGGAGCCTGGCGAGGTTTTCGCATCTAACATTAGCAAAGCTTCATCCGGCAGTTCCACACACGAAGCACTCCTCAAAGCTATCGCAGACCAAGAGTGCGATGATGTTGAGGATGCTGCCATCATCTATGCATCGCTATAACTACTTCTTGCTCATCATTTGTATTGTTTACCTACTGGCGCCTTACATCCTTCGCTCATCTCCCTCCCTTTCCACAGCTTAATCAGCATGTATTTCACCTTAGTCTTCGGTCTCAGTCTTCCTCCTTTGCCTCATCAGTCACTCGTCTCTACTAGTCTTGCTGCCCTGCTTTTGTGTTTACAACCTTGTCATCTTCTTAACAGTCACGTGTCAATGTCATACATGCCTGAGTATTTCACATAAAGACCAGTGTGTTTGAAGAACCCCATCACCACCCACTCGCAGACATGATTGGAGCAGCTCCGGTAAACAACGAAGCGATGGGTATGCTCATCACATGATGCAAGCCACATGGCACTTTTTTTTGAGTGACATCACCACTCAAGGAAAAAGTACCACGTTTTCCCGGTCATGTGACAGTGTTGCGACTCTAGCTGTGTACTCCCCGACTCCCATGTTAGTGGAGGTAACAGCACCAGCCTTTGTATGCATACTTGCTCGTGTGCTTTAGCGGCATAACTCATGTTCTTCCCTCCAAGCTACCCTCTTCACGGAAGCCACAATGATCACCATGAATACCTTTAGTAATAACTCTGCTTTGTGCGATACATTACGCTCACCTTCTCCTCTGCCATCTCTCGGTGGAGATTCCACATATTGTCCCATACCTGCAGGGCAATTTGCACTCTCTGCACCCATACCATTTAATACCCAGAATTCTTTGACAACTATGGACACAGAACTCCGAGTTGTCGACCCATCTGGAAACGAAATATTATGCCTTAGCGTTACAACCACACCACTTCATCCTGGACCACTTGATTCGCCGTATGGCAATGCCCACATCATATTCTGGGCAACAATTGCTCTTGCAGCAACTTATTGGCTCATTGTTGGGTTTGCTCAGATCATATCTGCTTGGAGTCGGGGCTTTAGTAGACCTGGTCCGGGCATCTGGCACCAGTTTGAGAGTACTGGGTTCATTCTTGCTAGTGCCATCAGCGGTGAGCGTTTTTCAACATCACCTGCATTGATGAGATTTTGTAAGTGATTTTACATGTTCTGTTCGTATTTTTGCGATGCTCATGGTTCATCAGGCTCCCCATCATTGCGTGACATCATCTTTCACACACAGTGGTGTGCAGCCCTAGCTATGGTTGCTGTCCAGTGGCCGCCCTTTATTTGTGAGTAGCAATTCAGAATTTGAGATACACCACACGTGCTCATGAATTTCAGATCCCCTACTTTCGCAAACTGCCTGGGCATCGCTGACGTATAGTAGGTTTAGATCTGAATAGTGCCGTACGAACTGCTAATGGTCTGTAGACATCACATTGAACGCACATTCCATGCACTGGAATCCACTGAATGTCCAACCATATAATCCACCATCAGACTTCGCCGATCAGTTGGCCGATCCAACTTCTGTTATCTACATTGACCAGTCAATTCCGAACACAATTTTCCTACTTCCACCGAACACTACAACTGGGATGCAATCCTTTGCTTGGAGTGTTGGAGTACAACCCCAAGATCTCTTTGCGATCTGCTTAACCCTGTTCTTGGCCATTATAGCTGGGACAATCTTTCTCAGTCTGTTCCTATGGATGGTAGATTGGATATTCTCACAACGGCCATCAGGCAGTTTATCAAGTTCTGCTTTGCTTACAAACACAGCGAGCAAGGGTCATATGCCGCAGCTTTCAGCGGGCAGTAAGGACATGCTCGACACAAGTGGAGATGAGAGCAGATCATCAACTGGATTGGCCACAACTATACTTTACTCAGGAGACACTTATTTCGACCGGAAGTCAGCTCTTTTCACTCTAGCGTGCTCATAGGAAACCTTGTGCGCATTCTCGTCCTTTTTCATTTACCTGTCACCATATTCTCGTGCTACAAATTTTCAACAGGAAGCTCAGCGTCTTCAGTAGCCCTTGGTGCTCTCTCATTCGCACTCTTCTCTGTAATCGCTCCTTCTCTTCTGCTCCTGCGGCTAAGCCGGACCTCAACAACCAAATTATACGATGAAACACATACTCTCCTTGCGTTAGTTCCACTCTACAATCACTACCGCCAGAATTCTCAGCTTTTCTCAGGCTTGCTCTTCCTGTCCAGACGGCCAGTCGATAGTGGATTGATCGGTGTGCTTTCTCTTCTCAGATGTTACGGGCCACAGAGAGGTGGTCGCGAATGAAGACACTACAAAGCCACGGAAGTACGACATTCACCCATGGCTCGAGACTCTTTCGCTGCATGTGATTCATCTCCCTATGTGCCTCCCAACGCATCTTTCGCGCAGAAAGACAAAGGTTCCAGCTCCTCTCATCATTCTGGTGGGCCCCCACCATCAGTATTGCGACTTGAGCATGCTTTGCAGCCTTACAGAGAGCACAGCGATGATGATGCAGAAAGTGGTCACATAATGGATGCATGGCAGCCATTCTCAGGTCCAGGTCCCCGCAGCTCATACGACCACACATCCATTAGCACACCTCCCCAACACTTCAATTCAGGTTTCTCCCGCATTGGTGGCGGTCACGCCCACTATGACTCACCATACGCGTCGTTCGTCGTTATTCGGGCATGGAAGCCTCAATCATCACAACCCAATACTCATCCACACATTCACAAGGTTAGATACTCAATGGACAAAACTGGAGCAGGACCTTCTTCGCAAGCAAAATCTCTGAAGCCATGAATTGACATTATAATGTGCATACACGCCTTTTACGCTTTGTTCTTACCTTGTCCTACTTTGCATTTATGATGTACCACCTCGTGGTTCTTATGGTACACATCATCTTGCATATGTAACATTTACTGCACTCATGTATCTGAACATTCCCATCAAGACGTCTACCACGCATCCATTAAAGTTCGTTTTAATTCACTTTTGAAGAACTGTGGTTCATAATTTTGTTCCAAACGCAGCATATCTACCATCGTGCCTCCGAAATTATTATCCGCAATGTCATCGCATCTTATAACCAACCCTGAGCCTTCACCCATCATCTTCCATATACCTGACTTCTATACCTTGCATCGCATTGCAGACTATGCCCAACGTGTCCCATCAACAACTAGCCCTACCTCTCTAATGGTCTCACGCAAGGCTCACTTGCGTCGGTCAAATAAAATTCCATTAATACCCTCAATACCTACACATTCTTCCTCGCCAGAACATATCCTTCATACTCCTCCCTTTCTGATACCTCTCGCACCCGCATTTCATATTTGTCCAGTTCAAACCCAACATCCCATGATTTTGATATTTCCTGACCTTTGTGAATTTACACTATCATAAGTTGACTTGAGCCGGCTTACAGCGCTTATTTCAGTTACATTAGCCAGACTGTGCCATCATTATGTAAGCAGATCTGGCTTTGCAGTTCCAGTCAAGCCGGTGAATTAGAACCGGCTACTGCCAGCATTAGCTGGAACCACGGCAACACTATACATAGAGGTATCAATAATCCGACGAAGGAGAGGCCCATGTCAAGGACAATACATAGCCAAATGCAAAACTAGCACTTGTGGCTACCTGCGTGAGTCAGTTGTCTACCGAGCGTGATATAGTTGATGGTTGGCTGATCTGTCATTAGTGAACATCGAGAAATTTTTTAGAAGAGCTTGTGTACCTGCTGCATATTATCCTCTCAGAGGCACGTGTTTGAAGTAGCAGCACAAAATGTCTAGGCTCATCTCTAAACCAGGGACTGACTGGCAAACACTTTGTTCCTATGATTAAGGACGCCAGACTCCAGTAGCATCAGTGTTACGTCAATATGACTAAATGTGGCTAGCTAGCATTAGGATCAGTTTCATTCTGATGAATTTGGAAGTCAAACACATGCACCGTTATAGTTAACATCGATACCCGACAAAGTTTTGATGTTTGAGACTGTTTTGTTTACTAGGCGCCATTGCCAGCGATGACCTTGCTTTGTTTGGTGTTGTTAACTCATCTGAATCACAAGCGTGCAGTCCAATCAATCATCCAAGTTCGTCGCAGCTGCCCATGGCCAGGCCCCAAATCAAACTTCTTTCTCAGAGGCAGCGGTCAGGATGTGAAAAAAGGAAAATGCCGTTAATTTACATGCATAAGCTTCATGTTGTCAAATTCAGAGGTGGCCATTGATCCTTTACGGAAAGAAGGACAAGTCAGAGATATTAATAATCTAGGGTGCAGGAGGCATCTTACCATCATTTTGATGTGCACGTCACACATATCACTGCGTGCGTAATTCATCTCTGACAAGAACTTGTTAAAAGTGCGCGACTTGTCATTTAAGTGTGGTGTGTACACCGCACTACACTATAAATGTAATACTACAGTAACATACATTGATTATTCATATAAATCTATACTGTGTGCTATGTACTATGTACTATGTGGCGATGGGATGATGGAGGTTGGAAAGAAGAAAATGATGAAGTGAGCAGAGTTTATATAGTGACTGACTTTTGAAATCAAACTCCGCTGACTGTGGCTACCCCACGATGATGTAATGTATTACATTTTCCTATTTTGTCATGGCATGGCTAATCGCGTATTGCCGGCTGGGTCTGAATATGTATTCAGTATATCAGCTGTGCTCTTTGCGTCCCGAAGTCCTTTCCGACTCCAAGTTTCACAAATATGCATAGTTATATTTAGCTCAAATGTAATCGAGTAGACGGTAGTACTTGTGATTTGTGCAGTCTCCAGCTTTGGCTGGTGGTGCATTACGAACATACTCTAATGATCATACTAGTGGGTGGGAAGACTTAACTTTTTTACATGTTTTCGCCGCGACACCGTCTATAGAAGACTTCATTTCGACAGAACAATATATGCTCAGGTGCCAATCTTTCGTCGCTGGTCCCTCTGGTCCACTAGCAAGCCCAACAATGTACTGGTCCACAATCACAATGTGGTGTCCGTCTCTGTAAGTATTAGATAATCTACAATAGTGATTCACTATAAATACTCACCTTGCGCATTAACAGGTCTTCTTTCTTCTACCACTACAATCTCGAACTCCAATACGATACGATAGTCAATAGATATTACCATAGACTATCAAATAGACTACCAAAGAACAAAGTTTGTCAAAGTTTAAGTATTAAGCTCGCTGTAACTATGAATTGATCACGACACACAGAATCATGTCCAAGTCCAAACGCACCAGATCCGGTGGTGATGAACCGCCCCAAAAGCGGCACTGCAAGATTGATCTTCAAGGTAAGTCATGACTCAATATTCTCGACGTTAAAATCATTATTCATAAGTTCTACAGGGAATCAGGCAGTACCATTGGCACTGCATGACAACAATGCATGGGAGATTCTTCGACGGTTCCTCACTACGTCTATGTCATTATCCGAGATGGACGATGCTCTTGTAGCATACCTCAGCAATCAATACTCAGCAGATAACTGGGAGGAACCCCAACGTCTGTTGTTCTCTGGTGACGCAGATGATGCAGCGTCCTTAAGAAACTTGACAATATTGTGGAAAAGGCATATACTAGATCCAGCAGAAAACTCTTCTGTTGGCATGCCTGCATCAAGAACGGACAGTGCCTTGTCAAGATCATGCGTCCAAAAATCACATATGATATCTAAAGTAAGTTAATGTTTTGACTAATATATTTATAAATTAAATCCATGTAGGCTGCATGCAAGTTTATTGCCAATCAGGCCGAAGAGAATGACGAAGATGAGGATAGTGACAGGCGGTCTGTTCAGTTGCTGAAGGCCATACACTTGCCAGGACCGTCAGCCAAAGAGAGGTTGCTGCAGCCTTCGACAACATGGCTTCTAGGTTCGAAGACAATTCCTCAATCTCCTCTCAAGATCGCCAGGATCATCCTATCTACGGAGCCCTTCAACATGGCAGGATGTATCTGCTGCATGTTCAAAGTATTTTATTTTATTTTATTCACATTACACCTTACTCACTGTATCATAGGAACTACCACAGAATATATCGCTGAACACCTTCGAAAGAAGGGATTTGCCGTTACCATTTCAGCTTGGCTTGCTGGCCAGCTTTACATGGTGGCGGATAGCCCCAAAACAATCGCAGAATCTCTGCCCTCCTCACTTCATCTAGCCGTGAAAGATTATACTCGCATCGCGGAGGAGGAACGTGAAGCAGTCGAACGCACACAATTTGAGCTTCCCAACCCAGCGTGGTTGAGGATCAAGAGCGGCGAGTACAGGGGCAATGTGGCACAAGTGTTCGAGCATTTACCAAATAGTGTCGTTGCGGTACTTGTTGTTGCACGCCGCTTCCCCTATTCCATGCCTCGGGGATCTCAAGCGCTGATTGAGTGGTCCTGCCTCCCGAATAACACGACAGTTTCCGACATCATTCAGGATGATGAAGTAGTCAGATGGAAATATAAGGGCGAGAGCTACTACATGGGTCTCCTTTTAAAAACCTTTCACTGTGATCGACTAGAACATATCGCATCACCTCACGCTGACAACATTCGGCTCCACCTGGACTCTGGATGGAACAAACCCTTCATCCAAGCAACTCTGGCCGCATATTCATTGCAGTTCCTGCGCATAGGAGATTGGGCCAGGGTTGTCAAGGGCTCTCTTCATGGTGAGCTTGGTCAGGTGACATCGACTGACCATACTCTTGGGACCCTGAGTTTGCAATCCGCCTTGGATGAACGTTCGAAAGAGATGACAGTTCGTCTTCAGGACGTAGAACGTGTCTTTCAAGTCGGAGATACTGTAAGAGTGGTGGCCGGTTCCTACTTGGGTTTGCAAGGACACATCATCGAAATGCACGGGGACACATTTCAAGTTTGTCAAGATACTACAAACGAACAGGTAATTTTTTTGTGCAATTTAATATTTGACGGTCTAAGTCTTGGCATGTATAGGTCGAAGTGTCAAGATACTACTTAGATTGGCATCTCTTGAAGCACACAGTACAATCATGGCTGCCAATGCAGCAGTACTTCAACCCCCCCAAGCTAGACTCTATTGAAATCGGGGATTACATAGAAGTCATGGAGGGAGAGCACATGGGAAAACGCGGTGTCGTTGACTGGTTTTCGAAGAAAGACACGAAACTCTGGTTCCAGGATATTTTCACTGTGGACAACACTGAGTGCTCCGGCGGATTGTCAAGTATC